AAATAATAATAAAAATAATGTCTGAAGACTCTGTAGAGGGTTGTCATGTCTTACTGTAGCAAGTGACCAGCATCAAGATTTTCCGCTACACAGTTATTGCTCACATTGTCTTAATTTCTCCCCCCAATACACAGCCTGACCACCAATATCATCAAACACTTTGAATGTTATATGAAGAAGTGTGAAAAGAAGTTGCAAAGTATGTACGCATAAAAAAAAACAAAAACAAACAAACAAACAAACACTAAGATATTATTCTAAAACCTGATCTCATTCTAAGAGTAATACTTGCAATTATAAATATGGATGTTTTATGTGTAAGCCTTTGAGTGAAAAGCTATCTTTCTGTTAGTGTTAACATTTCTTTTTCAGCTAGAAAATTTGCTTTCAATTCCATATCAGAGTTTACAATGTAACACCTTGAGCCTTCCATGGTTCCTTTGAGACAAAATGTTCATTTGTTTGATGTAATGCAGTTTTCAATAAAAACAAAACAAAACAAAACAAAACAAAAAAAAAACTCAATTGGGCTTAAAAATGGGATTTTCACCTCTGTAAGGTACATTATTACAAAGTTACCATACAGTAAAAAATGAACATTTCTAAAATAGGCTTCCTGTGAAAGATAACTTCATATCCAGTCTCTGTGATATAGGTGACTTGTTTTGTAATTTCATTCAGACAGGACAAAATTCCCACCCTTAAAAAAAAAAAAAAAAAAAAAAAAAAAAAGACAGAAAGTAAACATGAGAGCCCCAAAAGGAGAGAATGATGAATGATCCTGCACAAGATCTAATCAGATAACACTAATACACAGATATTAATGAAGCTGTCAAGCTCTATTCACTGTACTGAAGAACTGAAGTATATATTTTCCTTTTAACCTTCAACGTTGATGTAGTGATTTGTAAGCTGCTGACTTGCTATTCTGTTATTGTAATCTGTGCTTTTGTTATGGCAGGAAATAATGAAGATATGATTCACAGGCCAGTTAAAAAATGCTCACTATATAACAAGTATCAGTGATAATTAGATAAGGAGAGAAAAAAAGGAGATCTTTTCAGTTTACTTTTTCAGTCTTCTGTTAGTGTCTGTAGTATGTAATATCTTCATTATATTTTATACGGAATGTCTAAACATTTCCTGTAGGTCAAGAACATTTGCATGCTAACAATATTTTAGAGATTTTGTTTATTTTCCCAGATTATATTCTTCATTAAATATTGATACCTGTTTACTCATCATAGGATCTAGGTATGTGTATCTTATAGGAAGAGATTGAGATTGATGACTTTAGCTTTTGTAGTCATTGTCAAACCCAACAGCAAACAGACTCTGCTGCAAAGAACTAAGAAACAGACAACAGTACTGCCCTTTTATAACTCTACACCATTTGATGATGCAACCCCTGCCTTGCCCATCCATTCTCTTCCTCTTCTAAACACCAACTGTTCCCCACCATATATATGCATACATTAGATTTATATATTTTTTGTTTGTTTGTCTTGTATGAACAGAGAACCTTAGAGCTTTTGTAAACTACTAGCAGCTTTGGGTTCCAGAGAATATCTGAGGGAATCCTCGGGCAGGATTCATTACTGGAAGCAAATGTTTATATCTTCCAGTTCTTGAGACACTCTTTTTACTGGCTGGTGAAAAACATTCATAAGTAGACCAGCTGACTCCTTCCCTAAAAGAATCTTCACTCACAGGAAGCAGCATATCGCAATTTTCTCAGATGTATGTGGCTAAGTTAGAGAAGGTGAAACAAACCTGTTAAAAATATGCATCTCCACTGTCATTAGTTTTCCATCCTTCTCAGTGAAAAAAAGCCTTTCTACTGAATGTGTATTCCCTACCAGTCTAACACTCCTGTACTCTAGTCAAATAAAAGATTATATCTTTCTATATTAAAGAATGAAATATGATGATCTTAGAGTATGTAAGCTTTGTGGTAAGAATTCACATGGAAAACAAATGGTTTTATGACTTTTAATTAAAAACAAAGGCTCTAATTTAGTCTTTTTAAAATCAATATGGAGACCTCAAATATGAAGTCTGCAAAATTTTCATTTAAATTATTATTTCACTATTGGTCTTAGACTGTAAAAATATATTTTATATAATTTGCTCTACGCACATTTTGCATTAATTCAAAATTTTCACAAACTTTTTTTTTTTTTCCTTAGGATGACTTTGGTGTTGACATTCGCATGTCATTAGAAAGTATCTTGTCTGTATCTGCCAAGATTTTCATGTTTGATTAAAAATTTCTGTATCATCCAATTTCAACAGATATTACTGATTAATGAAAACAAAGTGGCCTTCCCTTCTTCACCCTATGCAATTTTAAAGTTAGAAGGGAAATGTGAAAATAAAATAAAATTAAAAAAAAAAAAAAAAGGAAAGAAAATAAAAGAAACACAGTCTAGCTATGCAGTACTAAATTGTTGTTTTGGAGTCACAAAACATAATATATGTAAGAAGAATTAAGTGGAAACATCACTATTTGACTTATTTTGCCTCATAATTTACCGTGTGTTGGGTACTCCTTAGTTTTGTGTTAACAGAAATTAACACTAATAATTCATCCTTTTTATTCAATAGAAAACACATCCAAGTTTAGAATATTCATGCAGCAGACCACAGGTTCAACTTTTTTATAGTGTAATTCAGTTATACAATGTTATTTGAAGCATCTAGGGCAGATTAATAATAAATGGCATGTGATATCACATTTCAATTTCAATTGAATAATAAAATAAGCAGAATCAGGAGTACTGTATAATATTGTTATATTATATATAATACTGTTCTATTTCACTTGAAAACACTAGTTTCTAATAAAAATTAAGTCAGCATAGATTATTTTTTGCCTGCAATGTAAGAGATGTACAGAAGTTGGACATATATTTTTGTTCATTGTAACAAAAAATATATAGTTTTTTATATATATAAGGCTTTTAATTATTATTATTATTATTCATCAAATCTCAGTGTTTTGTCTGTGAAGTTCTTCAGGTTATCGTTTGTTTAGTTCAAACAATGTTTCCACTTGAAAGAGAGAAGAGTATTAACATATTTGCATTTGGTTTTCTTCTCCTTAACCTCTCCACTTATCTGGTTATATCCATTGCTTCATTTTTATCATCATAGAGTATACTTTCTGAGAATTTTTTTATCATTCTAATATCACAGTACATTTGCATTATGCCTTTAAGGTGTGTTCCATAGGACATATTTTGTATTGAAATGTAAAACAAAGATTAAGATTCAAAACAATATCAACATCCTTTAGTAGTAAACACTGACCAGTTGTATATAGAGTATTGACCAGTATCCAGACCCTTCTTTTATGGCATAACCCTTTTTGGAGAACTATGGATACTTCATCTCTGATTCAATGCAGGAAGTAAGTGCTTGCATATCTTGAGGATCATAAGCATTCCTGTTCAGAAAAGCCTTTTGTTGACACATAGATATTACAAAAGTTCAGTACGTTTCCAAATGTGATATGTTGCAATCATTTTTCATTTTTAAATCCAGGCTGTTTACAGATGTAGTGTAATGTCAGCTTAATCACTGACTTTAAGATGCTCATTTGGGATTTATTTTACTGTAACTCTATGGACAACTTATATTCTTGTATTTGTAGGTCAATAGATGTGTATTTCACCCTGCTCCTCCTCTGAGTGAATACAGGAATGTTTTGTGGATACTCTCAGATTATTTTGCAGGCTCATTTCGGATACTTATGATTTGCTCAGGATCAAAACTGCAGAAACACTTCTAAAATCTGTTTTGTACACTTGGAAACATAGTTTGAAAAGACAGTTGAGTAATTAGACTGCAGTTTTAGAAATAGTTGGGTCTGTTGTTCTTAATGTTTAAACTTGGAATTGCAAAGAAATAATTAGCCAGGCATTTGGTGCAAACTGACAGACTAAGACTGTAGAAGTGGGGTAAATAGTTCTAATATTAATATGATGTTTTCCTTCAATAATTACCTGTGAGGTAAAAAGACTTTTTGCTTCCAAAACATTTTTTTTAATGTTACCGTTATCCAGATCACAGATATACCGTGAGTTCCGGGGGCTATTTTTTTAACTCTAAAGCAGTATTAATTCTAAAGGGAATTCTACTTTAATCAAAGAAAATTAAATTGGAATGAAGATGGAAAAAAAAAATATGTTTAACAGATAAAACAAATGAATCTCCAGGCTGTATCTAAATACAAAATATTGTCATATAAGCAATGTCATGGAATTGATTGACATATTTTCTCCACAAACTTATAAGAACTTGGGAGTAATAGTTTATAGTGCCAATGTTATGCAAAAACAAAACAAAGCAAAACAAAACCATAGTTTTCTGAAAGAGGTGTTTTCACTAGTGAATATTATATAGATTTATCATGTCTGGGTTATATGGCACATTGTACCTGATATTACCTTAGAAAAATACAAATAAAGAGAATTCATTCACAGAAATGAAGTAATGAAAGAGAATTTGGTTCCCAAAGATGGCACACAAAGTTTTGGTATTAACTCAGAGAATTCTGAGTTAATAATTTAATTCACAGGGCAGAATTTTCAGAACTGTCCTTCCCATTAAATTATTGGGAAATGCTTGCTAGGAATAATTATAGTGGAATTAAGAGTATTCTTGAAAATCCCACTCATATTTCTACAAAATCAAACATGTTTAGGCAATTATAGATTTTCTTAAAAATACTAATACACTGATGAAAAATGACTTTATTATCTCATCATTTTACAGTAGTCATTCAAGCTATGTCAGATCAGACTGAGCAAGACACTACAAAGCCAGTGTTTTGAGAAAGCCGAAAAAAGAGACATCAACTATGTTTTGCCAATCAAAAGTATTGCTTGAATACAAATGGAAAATCTCATTTTATACTCACTGAGTGTTGTGAGTGAGTATATTTTTGCTATAATATTATTGGGTAATAAAATTTCCAAATAATTTTACCTGTATAGGAGCTGGATTTTGAAGCTAAAACAAGCTATACCCTGAGGATAGAAGCAGCCAATATGCATGTTGACCCTCGCTTCCTGAGTCTTGGACCCTTCAATGACATGACAACAGTGAAGATAATTGTAGAAGATGTTGATGAGCCGCCTATGTTTACTTCACGTTTGTACTCCATGGTGGTGTCTGAAGCAGCAAAGGTTGGCACTATCATTGGAACTGTAGCAGCCCATGATCCAGATGCCTCAAATAGTCCTGTCAGGTAATTAGAGTCATAGAATCATCTAGGTTGGAATAGACTTTCAAGATCTCCAAGTCCAACCATCAACCTGACCTACTGAATCCTACTAAATCCTACTAAATCCTACTAAATCCTACTAAACCATGTCCCTTAGGGCCATGTCCACCTGTCTTTTAAATACCTCCAGGGATGGGAACTTCACCACTTCCCTGGGCAGCCCCTTCCAATGCTTGATCACCCTGTCCATGAAGGAATTCTTCCCAATATCCAATCCAAACCTCCTGTGATACAGTTTGTAAGACTTCTTAATTGTTTATTTTTTTAACTTTTTTTTTTTTTTAAGCGCTTGTTTTGTGATGGAAGATTTTTTGCACTGAAAGCAATTAGATTTTTTGTTTGTTTGTTTGTTTTGTTTCTTTGCACTTACAGAGGGAGAATGAAATATTCTAAGACTTTGCATATTTTAAATTTTATACTCATAAACTGCAGAACCTTTGAAAAATATTTACGTCTGTAAAATAACTAAGTAAATAAATAAATAAATAAGGAAAGTTAGAATTTCAGAATTACAAAGCAAAAATAATCCTTATTATACATATTAATTTATTTGTAAATTTAGAAAGAATCCATATCTATAACAAATCTATATATCTTTTTATAACATTTCTATAACAAATTATGTTCTGTTTAACAATCAGGATGAAAATCTCTTTCTCTCTCTCTCCATTTTGTGTGTGCAGTATGTGCAAGCAAGTAATAGGACTCTTTGACATGGTAAACCAGAATTGATGTCCCACAGAGAAAATGTATTGCTACAAACTCTTTATGTGAAAGAAATGGATAGGACATGACCTCCTGTATTTGCCAGGATGGTTAAAGGCTCTTTTGGCTTTTGTAAGTTCTGCTGCAGCCAAATATCTTCCGTTTGAAAGGGAAGAGATATGAACACTAGAGAAACATAAAAATTCTCAAGGTCTTCTTCCTTTGTCTTGTGTGAAAAAAAAATAAATATCTTCTATAATATAATGTGCAAGAATGTAGGGAACCTGTAGAAAACAACAACAAAAGAATATATATTGATATTATGTTTGTCTGTATTTAGGGAGAAAAAGTTCAGAGAAAAAGACACATCACCTAAATTAAAACACTAATTTAAACACTGAATTATTTGTTAGTTTTGTTATGCAGAATAGTAATTCTAATAGCTAAAAAATAATTAAAAAAAAAATGCGAAGGGTCTGGAGCCCATGACTTCAGGGGAATTCTGAGAACTTAAACATCTTCAGGAGTAGGACAATAATACAGTTAAATGTTAGTACTAAGGTTCAGTTGTTGTTATTGTTCATCTAGAGCATACATAGAAAAAAACTTCACAGATACAGAACTCATTTAGATGTCACCTTTTTTGAGATGCTAACTTTTTACATTCATGTATTGAATATGAACTCGTGAGTCTACTGTAGCTCTGTAATTTCTGAAGCAGCAATTTCAGTTGTAAAAATAAAGCATATGTTTCACTCCTAGAGGTGATACAAGTGTTCTCTCCCTCTTTTTCATTATATATTTGCAGCAGATTCAAAATAGCTGCTTCCTATCATGTATAAACAAGTCCTAGATGGATTGGTTGGCAGGGATTCACTTGTGAAATTTATCTTTGCTGAGCTCTTTCTTTACAGTGGCAGTGTTTTCTGGCACTGATGTTAGCATCTGGTGTATAATATCTGGTTTAGCAGAACCATTTAGAGTAGGATTAAATCCAGTTCCATAAATTAAGTCTATGCTCTCTATGCTTTTGACTCCTGTGTAAGGATGAATTTATTGGCCAAGTTTTGGTTATTTTTTAGAATTTCAACATCAAAAAAAATACTATATCACAAGCTTAACAGACATCTAGATTTCTTCGGCTTCAAAGTTGTCTGGAATTTGAAGGAGATGAAAATAAGAAATAGTGAAAGTTTATCTCTATGCTTGTGAACCTACTATATATGTTGTCAGGGCTACTGACAAACTATATAATTTAAAGATGTCCTGCATCTGCTGTGATGTAAATCACAGACCAGATGCATAAAAATGGAATGTGTTAAGGAAGATTAAAGCATAATAATTTTCATGATCTACTTAAGAACTTTAAATTATTAATCTATAAATAAGTGCTCCATATTCCAAACATTGGATTATATTGATAGATTAAAATTTTTGGTTTGTTACAATTCTGAAAGTGTAGCAATTGCAAGATCAGACAAACTTAAAACCATGTCTTGACAATACTAAAATAATTAAAATACTAATATAATTAAAATAAAGAAAGAAATAAACAAAAAGAAAATGAAGTTATTTTATATGGACCTGAGAACTATTGGTGTTTGAACTACCTTAAATAAAGGATTTAAAACTCCTGCAGCTCAAAGATTTTCAAGTATTAATGGCCACAAGGAATTAAAGGATTAGGAGTGCTTAAAATAGTTTTTCAGAATTTCAACATGGATACAGTAGTTGTAAATAAAAGTTAAAGATAACTGCTTGGGTCCTATGCATAAAAACTACTTTTTCTTCTTTCACTACAATATGTTGTCTAATTTACATAGCTTGTTCTCTTGCATTCTCCCTTCCTTCCTTCCTTCCTTCCTTCCTTCCTTCCTTCCTTCCTTCCTTCCTTCCTTCCTTCCTTCCTTCCTTCCTTCCTTCCTTCCTTCCTTCCTTCCTTCCTTCCTTCCTTCCTTCCTTCCTTCCTTCCTTCCTTCCTTCCTTCCTTCCTTCCTTCCTTTCTTTCCTTCTGTCCTTTTTATTGTTTTCTTTTATTGTTTTTGTGCATTCTTTTTCATTGTTAGCCTCTTTCTCACTTCTCTCTCCTTCTTTTACTTTCCCCTTTTCTCTCTTTCTTACTATGTTTTTAAGAAAGTCCTTTGGATTTTCAAGTTATGTAGTAACAGTGTTAATAATTAGGAAATGTAAAGGCTGGCAAGAGATTGAATCAAAACTACTGAACATGACATGATTGATTACATAGCAGAGGAAACAGGCATATTCCCCAGGGGAACCTTATCAAAACTAAACAAAACAAGGGAGGGGGAAAACAAACAAACAAACAAACAAACAAACAACAACAACAACAAAAACAACAAACAAACAAACAAAAACTACTGTTTACTTAGAAAAGAAGAAGAAAAGTGAAAGAGGGAGAGTTTAAATCCATGAAAACTTCTATTACTGTTGTTTTTATGACTCCTTATGCCTTTCTCTTACTGTGAGATAATGCAGTAAAGCAATTCTTAATGCATAACAAGTCTCTACTCTAGACATTTTGCAGCCAGGAGGGTTAGATATAATCACAATACAGCAGAGTAGAAGCTAGTATATTACAACACAGAACAAGCAAATAGTGCTGTCATATCATTATGTCTGGGAAGTCCTGTCTTTGCACTATCTTCCATTATTCTTTCCTTCCACATTGTTCAAAGGTTTTGATCAACGCTATATCAATAATCTAATATATCATCAGTGTGACAGTAATTGTAATGATCAAACTTGGTCTCAGACATTTTAATTCATTTTGAGTGTAGGGAAGTGCTCTGAAATACTTGATCTAAATGATCTAAATGACACTGCAAGAATCTGACCCAATATTAAGCCAAATATCAAGAATACTATAGTTTTAAATCTAACACTGCCTAATCAACTATCCCTTTCTCTCAAAAGGGATATAAGCAAAATACCCACAGGAAGTCTGACCTTTTCACTTATGCAATTTTCTATTTGCTAAGGAGCTAGTTCTCCCTTCCTAAAACAAGTTTGGAGGCAAAAGATATGCTAAGACAAAGAGTCTAGAGCATAAGCCTGTGTTTGTCAAATGACAGTTAAGCACTGGGAGCTGAAGGTGATGACACGCAATCCCTTGACTTACTCTACATTATCTTTCTTTTCTTTTCCCTGCCCTGGCAGCTCTGGGTGACTCAGGGGCTCTATTGCTGTTGATAGAAAACCGTGCTCAGGCTGTCAGCCCCCATGGGATCCATGCCTTACTGGTACAGCCACGCAGCAAACTTCCAACTCTTCTTCTTGTTAGCTTGGGCTCAGTAGGATGCTATTCCATAAGTAAATGAATAGCTGCTTTACAATGGAGAGGGTGATAGAAAAGAGAGGGGAAAGCCTATAATCTTGCTTAACAGGTCACTGTGGTAATGGAGCCTGACACTGTCAGCATAGGTCACTGCCTGTGTGGTCTTGCCTTTGCTTACAGCTTTCCTTCTGCTAATAACCTAGAGAAACTGGACAAAACCAATCCCCAAATGGGGAAACAATGGAAACACTTTCTCTCTAATGAGAAATCAATGAAACATTTCTACAAGCTTTAATTGAACATAAATCAAAAGTTTTCATTCATTCTTCACCTAGGTACTCAATAGATCGAAACACAGACCTTGAGAGGTATTTCAATATTGATGCCAACAGTGGAGTCATTACAACTGCCAAGTCTTTGGACAGGGAAACGAATGCTGTTCATAATATCACAGTCTTGGCTATGGAGAGTCGTAAGTAACAATTTAAAGATTTTATTAGTTGTTTATTTATAAAAGTTCAGGTTTAGTTGGGATAAGCTGCACAAAGTGAAAATATGACAATGTTTCAAAACATGGCAGATAATTCTTCTTACTCAATGTAAAAGACATGTATGTGATATAAATACAGAAATACAACAGATTAAGCATTTACACTTTCTTTTGCCTCACACTTCATGTATTTTTTTGACTTTAGAAAAGCAAGCACAAAAGAAGCTGAAAATGTCAGGAGTCTCAGACTAAGTATAATTAGAGCAAAAATGATACGAAATAGAGGACAGCAGTTAACTCCTCTTAGTGATGACACCCAGGTTGATTTCTGTTCATCAATCACAACACTCTTAAAAAGGATGAAGTAAAGGACATGTCAATACCTATGTTATTTTACTTTCCTGAATCTCAAGTAAGATGGTAGAGGATATTTAGTAAACAATATTTTTTTATGGTGTAAGTTGAAAAAGGATAAAGAATCAAACTCTTCAGGTACGTACAATAATTCTGTATGAAAATTTAAACCTAAACTTGTTCAGCTCTGAATACATTCTGTGAAATGTGGTTCTTCAAGAACTGCTCCAACATGGGTTCATACCATGGAGTGCAGGCCATCAGGAGTAGACTGCTTCACCACAGGTCCCCCAAGGGCCACAGTTACTGCCAGAAAAACTGCTCCTGTGTTAGTTCCTCTCCACAGGTTACAGCTTCCACCAGGGCACCCACTGCAGTGTGGAGTTCTCCATGGGCTGCAGGGGGACATCATGCTTCATCATGATCTTCTCCATGGTCTGCAGGGGAATCTCTGCTCCAGAGCCTGGAGAATCTCCTCCTCCTCCTTCTTCACTGACCTTGGTGTCTGCAGGGGTTCTTTCTCTCACATCTTCTCACACCTTTTCCAGATAAAAAAAAAAAAAAAAAAAGACATTGTGAACTACCATAGGCAAGGATGCTACTCACTAAATCAGGTTGCCCAGGGCCCCATCCAACCTGGTCTTAAAAACCTTCACGGATGGGGCATCCACAACTTCTCTGGCCAACTTGTTCCAGTGCCTCATCACCCTCTGAGTCTAGATCTCTAATCTAAATCTCTACTCTTTTAGTTTAAAACTTTTCCCCCCGTTCTATCATTATCTGATTGAGCAAAGTCACTCTCCATCTTTTTTATGTAAGACTCTTTTAAGTACTGAAAAGCTGCAATGAAGTCACCCCAGAGCCTTCTCTTCTGTAGGCAGAACAGCCCCAGCTCTCTCACCCTTTCTTCATAGGAGAGGTGCTCCAGCCCTCTGATCATCCTCATGGCCCTCCTCTGGACCTGTTCTAACAGATCAACATCCTCCTCATGCTGGGGGCTCCAGACTCCAAGTGGGGCTTCATGAGGGCAGAGCAGAGGGAAACAATCACCTCCCTGTACTGGGTCTGGCTGGAATGTTAACTTTCCCAGCAGCAGCCCATACAGTGTCGTACTCTGTACTTGTAGCTGGAACAGCAGTGTTATCACACCAGTGTTGTGTCTACTGCTGAGCAGCAGTGGCACAGCATCGGGCCTCTCTCTAACCCTCCTAGGGGGTGGGCAAAAAGTGAGGAGAGAAACATCACCAGGGCAGCTGACCTAAACCAATCAAAGGGATATTCCATACCATGTGATGGCACACTCAGCAATAAAAGGTGGAAACAGGAAGAAGAGGGGAGGGGTGGGCTCTCATTGGGAAAACATCGGTCCTCCTCTCAAACACTGGCTGGGTGTGTTGAGGCCTTGCTTCAAGGACGTGGTCAATCATCACTCATTTGTGGGAAGTAGAGAGTAATTTCTTTCCTCTGCACTTCCATATAGCCTTCATTTATTTTGTTTGTTTGTTTTCCTCCCTTCTTTTTATTTTTTCTTTTCCCCTCCCTTTTCCCCTTTCCCTTTTTATTTCCCCTTAGTTAAATTGTTTAATTCATGGTAGTCTTTATTTAATTGTTATTATTATTTCCTTTTAATTAAATTATCCTTATCTCAACCTGCGAGTTGTTCTTTGCTTTACTTCTCCCCCTCCTCATCTAAAGGAGGGGGAGTGAGAGAACGGTTGTGGGGTTTAGCTGCCCAGCACGGTAAAACCACCACACTCCCTCGACCTGCTGGCTACTCCTCTGTTGATGCAGCCCAGGATGCAGTTGGCCTTCTGGGCTGCAAGTACACACTGGTGGCCCATGATGAGCTTCTGCCAGTACCCCCAAGTCCTTTTCTGCAGGGCTGCTCTCAGTGAGTTCTATACACATGTCCAGGATTGTCCAGACCCAGAGCAGCACCTTGCACTTTGACTTGCTGAACCTCATTAGGTTCACGTGGATCTAATCCTCAAGCTCGTCCAGGTCCCTTTTGACGGCATCCCTTCCTTCTGGTGTATCAACTGCACCACTCAGTTTGGGGTCATCTGCAAACTTGCTGAGGGTGCACTCAATCTCACTATGTCACTGATAAAGATACTGAACAGTACCGATTCTAGGACAGGCCCCAGTGGCACACAACTCATCTCTGGCCTCCACTTGGACATAGAGCCATTGACCACCACTCTCTGGGAGGAGCCTTCAAACTAACTCCTTATCCACTGAATGGTCCACCCATCAAATCAATATCTTTCCAATTTGGAGGCAAGGTTGTCACGTGGGACTGTGTCAAAGGCCTTACAGAAGTCCAGGTAGATGATATCAGTAGCTCTTCGTTTGTCAACTGATGCAGTCACTCCATCATAGACGGCCATCAGATTGGTCAGGCACAATTCACCCTTGGTGAAGCCATGCTGGCTGTCTTGGATTACCTCTTTGTCTTGCATGCCTTGCATGTGCTTTGACATTACTTCCACGAGGATGTTTTCCATGATCTTGCCTGGCACAGAGATTAAGCTGGTATTCCATTCTGCCCTTTTAAAAATGGGAGTGATGCTTCTCTTTTCACAGTCACTGGGTCTTTGCCCAACTGCCAGGACTTTTCAAATATGATGGAGAGAGTCTTGGCAACTACATCATCCAGTTCCCCCAGGACCCTGGAATACATGTCATCAGGCCCCATAGACTTGTAGGTGTTCAGTTTCATCAGGTGGTCTCGAACTTGCTGTTCACTTACAGTGGGTGAGACTTTACTCCCACAGCCTCCATCTATGGGTGCAGGGAAGCAAAATACTTGGCAAGCCTGACTGGCAGTGAAGACTGAGGCAAAGAAGTTGTTGAGTACCTCTGCCTTCTCCATGTCTGTTATTATCATTTCACCCTTCTCATTCATCAGAGGGGGTACAAATTCCTTGGCCTTTCTTTTCCGAGCAATGTAACTTTAGAATCTCTTCCTGTTATTTTTTGCACCCCTTGCCAAGCTCAGTTCCATCTATGCCTTGGCTTTCCTTGTCCCATCCCTGCATATCCAGACTGCATCCCTATACTATTTCCATGCCATGTGTCCCTGCTTCCACTGTGCGTGCATTTCCTTCTTAGACCTCAGTTTGACCAACAGGTCCTCGCTTAGCCATCCCAGTTGTCTGCCCTCCCTGCCTGCTTTTATTCAGAGGGATGGAGAGTTGCACTTTAAGGAAAACATCCTTAAAAAGCTGCCAGCTCTGCTTAGCTCCTTTGTCCCTAAGGATGGTGTTCCAGGGGATCACAGCTATTAGGTCTTTAAATAGCTTGAAATTTGCTGATTCAGAAGTTCAGGGTCCTGACTTTGCTCCTTGCCAGGCCTGTACTCCTCGAGATCACAAACTCAACTAGGATATTGTCAGTGCATCCCAGACTGCCTCCAGTCTTGACCTCTTTAATCACAGAATCATAGAATATCCCGAGTTGGAAGGGACCCACAAGGATCATTGAGTTCAACTCCTGGCACCACACAGGTCTACCCAAAATTTCAGACCATGGGACTAAGTGCACAGTCCAAACGCTTCTTAAACTCCAACAGGCTTGGTGCAGTGACCGCTTCACTGGGGAGCCTGTTCCAGTATGCCACAACCCTCTCAGTGAAAAACCTCTTCCTGATGTCTAGCCTAAACCTCCACTGCCTCAGCTTGACACCATTCCCGCGGGTCCTATCACTGGTGACTAAAGAGAATACATAGGTGCCTGCCCCTCCACTCCACCTCATGAGGAAGCTGTAGACCGCAATGAGGTCTCCCCTCAGCCTCCTCTTTTCCAGGCTGAACAGGCCAGGTGACCTCAGCCGCACCTCTTACGTCTTCCCCTCTAGGCCCTTCACCATCTTTGTAGCCTTTCTCTGGACACTCTCCAACAGTTTTTCATCCTTTTTGTACTGCGGTGCCCAAAACTGCACACAGTACTCGAGGTGAGGCTGCTCCAGTGCAGAGTGAGACAATCACTTCTCTTGACCAACTAGCAATGCTGTGCTTGATGCACCCCAGGATACGGTTGGCCCTCCTGGCTGCCAGGACACACTGCTGGTTCATATTCAACTTGCTGTCAACCACAAACCCCAGATCCCTCTCCATGGGGTTACTCTCCAGCATCTTATCACTCAGTCTGTACGTATACAGAGGTACAGACTGAGTGATGACAGACTGGGTTGCCCTGTCCCAGGTGCAGGACCCAGCTCCTCTGCATTGCTGAACACCAAGTCCAGCAATAATTCTCCTCTCGTTGATTTTTCTAATACCAGAAAGTTATCCTCAACATGCTCTAGGAATCTCTTGTATTGCTCACAGCCTTCTGTGTAGTTTTCTCAGTAGACATTTGGGTGGTTGAAGTCCCCCATCAGGATGAGAGTACACGAGCGTGATGGTTCTTATAGTTGAAGCAAGAATGCCTCATCCACAGGCTTCCCTTGAAAGGGTGGTCTGTAGTAAACCCCAACCACAAGATGTCCTTTATTGGTATGGTCCTTAACTCTCACCTGCAAGCTCTCAGCCTGTCTGTGGCTGTTTCTCAGAGGCATCTCTTCATGATCAATCCCTTCCCTAATGTAGAGGGGAACACCCCCTCCCTTCCTTCCCTGTTTATGGCTTCTGAAGAGTTTGTATCCCTCCATTCCAGTTTTCCAATTATGTGATCCATTGCACCACATTTCCATGACAGCAATCAGGTAATATTTGTCTAATTAAGCTATGGTTTCCAATTCCTCTTATTTGATTTCCATGCAGTGTGTGTTGGTGTAGAGGCACTTCAGCAGGGTATTTCTTTAAAAACTGCTAATATTTAATAAAACATAAAATATTTTATAAAATTTGTTTGCAGTATATTGTTTGAAATAGATATATCTTTTAATGTTTGTGCAGTTTTTCTTTCTGCCCTGCAATCTCACTCATGTCACCACCTATGATGTTTCTGTTCCTTGCTCCAAACCAGAAGTGTTATCTTGCAAAATAGGTGTAGTAGACACTTATGTCCATTATGTTTAGTCCACCAACTATCTACTGTTTGAGATTAAATTATGACATTAGGTCTTTCACAGACTTGTATTTTAGCTAGAGATGTACATCAGTTTGAGAATATGATTCCACTTCAGTTTTGCTTGGAAATACACCTCTTTTTTTTTTTAACTTCTTAATAGCCTGATCAGTTAGAGTTGCAACATATTATTTCCTCCATGATATCTGGGCTATTCCTAGTTTGAATAGTGTTGTTTTGGTTCACTGTGCACCCTGGGTGATGGTTCTACATCACTGTGCTCTTATCTTTCCATATGATGTAAATTAATGTTTTTATTAGTGAGTTAGATTTTCAGCTTATCCCTGAAAGTAAAACCTCAATTACATTTATGCTGTTGGAAAACACAAACATTGTTTTCTTTTTGTCCAAAAGATCAAACCAAGAGCTTCCTTTGTCTTTCTAGAAGGGATTGTAATTGATTTGACAAGCATATGCAAAAGAAAATTGCAAATGGAAAACATACTGACCCAAAGCATAATTCTCAAGGAGCTCTATTTCATTGTATTGTTGGCTTCTTCTCAGAGAATCCAGCACAGATTGGGAGAGGATATGTAGCCATCACCATCCTTGACATCAATGACAATGCCCCTGAGTTTGCCATGGAGTATGAGACAACTGTCTGTGAAAATGCTCAACCTGGACAGGTATGGCTTTATACTTTTTAAATATTTACTTTTATCAGATAGGTAGTCATTCAGTTCAGAAGCCTGACAGCTTTAAGATAAAATATAATCTGTTTATGAGAGTAAAAACAATGTTTTGATGTGCAGCACAAGCAAATTTTACTCAACTCCTAACATATCCACCCTACTTTTGAAGAAAAAGATGCAGATATAAAAATAATGTGTTCGAGGTAGGGTTAAAAGGCTCCAAATTTTCTCAAACTAACTTAAAACCTACACAAGTAGGTTCCCTTACAACATAACTGACACATTTTTAAGCTCACCAAAATGTGAGTAACATTAAGAATATATACTTCCTCCTAATTTTACTGGGAAGTGGGAAATCTTAACATGGAGTTTATTCTGAAACTATACCATTCCTAAAATGAGCACATACTTTTATTTCCCTTAGGAAATATAGGTCAGAATTTCACAAAACCTATTCCTACCAAACTGTTTTTAACTCCCAACATGATTTACAAACAGTCCTAGACTTAACTAACAGCATCTGGTATTGGTTATCTTTGGTGTCTGTCATATTTTAGCTTTTCCAATTTGGTATTTAAGGCCTAAGGAAATATATGTTTTCTAATTCTCTCTTCTCTCTCCCAGAAAAGTAGTAGATGTCTCATACATATAGATCCCACATAGTCCCTGGGAGGCTTTGCACTTTCGGGCCTTCTCCCAGAATATTTTCCTTTCTGTGGGAGATGTTGTCTATTATATATTTCAAAAGTACAGCAGAACTGAACTCTTCAACAGAAAACACTATTGTTATCTTGCATTCATGAGAAGCACAGGAATAGAATAAGAATGTTCTTATTGGAATACTTGTTTCTTGTCCCTGTGATTCAGTCAGAACTGTTACCTCTACTATTCATTCCTTTATGAATTGTAAGCAATTTTGAAATCTTTCCTTTAGAGACAAGTTTTGACTGAATTTTACAAAATATATATATTAAAAAAAAAAAAAGGAATATATTAATATATTTAGGACTTGGCTTTTTCCTTTTCAACTGGATGCTCGTAAACATAATCCTTTGCAAAAGATTACAGCTCAACACTGATCACAGCAACAGGTAACTAACTATAAGAGGGCCATGTTATAGGCATCTGGAATATATGATTCTTCCACTGCTGTGCAATTTATACTTCAAATACCAGTGCATGACAGGACCTAACTCTCTCATAAGCACTGCAGAGAATTGCTTTTGGTGAATAAAGTAAATTAAGTAAATTTTGGTAAATACAGGTAAATAAAGATACAGGGAAAGTAAGGAAAAGAGTCACATTATACATGTAATAGTATCTCTACATGCATAGGAGTTTAGAAAATTAAAAAAACAAAACAAAACAAAACAAAACACAATATAAGCAGGACTCATGAGAGGGTTGATACTTTGATATGTAACAGAGGAGTTATGTAATGTGCATGTATTTGTGCTTCTTCACATTTCATATAACGAAACCTCAGTGTATTTCATTACAGGTCATACAGAAAATCAGTGCAATTGATAAAGATGACCCACCAAATGGCCATCAGTTCTATTTCAGTTTAACAGCAGAGGCAGCAAATAACCACAATTTTACACTTCAGGACAACAAAGGTAGATAACTTGGTTTTTTTTTTTGCTTTTTTTTTGGGGGGGAGGGGTAAATATTCACAACCAACACCTTTCATTTTGAATATATCATGCTGATAATGACCTACATAAACACTGGTAAGGACATAAATTAAAGTGCAATCAGCTTCAAAAGTATTTTTATAGATTGTCTGTCAAGGGAATAAAGCTGCTGTCTGAATCATTTAAAGTCTTGAGCCAAACAGAGTAGCTTCTTTTTTATTGTATTTTTTTCCAGAAGGCAGTCTTTTCACATTTTTCCCTTGTATTTATATTTTTGTTTTATTTTGTTTTAATCCAAAATAGATTATACTTTGGGGCAATAACTGAAAAATGTCCATGAATCAATATTTTATTAATTCAACTCAGGGCAAAAAAAATGCGTGCACAAGTTTTTTGTTTGTTTGTTTTTGTTTTTGTTTTTCTTATTTTTTGTTGTTTTTATTTTGTTTTGTTTTGTTTTATGCACCGTTTCAATAAGTATACTACCTACAGAGGAATGATTTTGAAAACAAAAGCATTTACACTGAGTTCTTACTATTATTTCCCCAGACATTTATGAAAAGACTCCTGTTGACATAAAGTTTTTATTAGTTAAATATCTGAGAACATGCTTCTAATTAGTGCTCTCATTAGTTGCACTGCACAGTATAGCATCTGAGCATGTATCAGTCAGTTTAGCTGTTAGCTGAGGCAAGTAGAACTAAATAGACACCATCTTAGTCTTGCATTGCTCTTCTGTGCACCAGCCTGGAGAAAAGGAGGCTCAGGGGTGACCTTATTGCTCTTTACAGGTACCTTAGAGGAGGCTGTAGTGAGGTAAGGGTTGGTCTGCTCTCCTGTGTGCCTGGTGACAGGACGAGGGGGAATGGGCTTAAGTTGCACCAGGGGAGTTTTAGGTTGGATCTTAGGAAGAACTTCTTTACCGAAAGGGTTGTTAGACATTGGAACAGGCTGCCCAGGGAAGTGGTGGAGTCACCATACCTGGAAGTCTTTGAAAGACGTTTAGATGTAGAGCTTAGGGATATGGTTTAGTGGGGACTGTGTTAGGTCAGAGATTGGACTCGATGATCTTGAGGTCTCTTCCAACCTAGAAATTCTGTGATTCTGTGATTCTATGTATCAGCATTATCCAGAGTTACAAAGCGATCATTATTAATAAGAAAAAAGAAGCATATGGTGGACTAAGGTGTACTGTTTGTACAGAAAGACCTTGAACAACAGTCACTAAGTACATGGGAACTAATAAAGACCTCTCACACAGGCATTTATTGCCTTAGTCTTCATGTAGTATTGACATGTTTAACTTTCTTCATATTAGCAGCATACAATTTGAAACTAAAATTTGTAAATAGTGGTCAAAATAATAAAAATGCATTAGAATAAGACTAAGAAGTCTGATGCTGTTACAAGTTCTGCAAAGTACTCAATAAAAAGACAGTCCATCTTCCAAAGAACTTACAATTTGCAAAGGGTAATAACAGACCATTGCAATGCCAGTAAAATCAATGGAGTTACGAGGCAGAACCAGTTGCCTCTTCTGATGTTTTAGCTTTAGATATATTTCACATGGTTCTGTATGAGGAAATGTTTGTATTTTTTTGCCAGATAGGTCATAATAGATGACACAATAAGATACCTATACTAGATTATCAATGAATCTGACTATACATAGACAGATAGATAGATGATACATGTAGCTAGACAGACCGACCGACCAACCTTTTCTATACATTTCTAGGAGATGTATCTCCCTACCTCTCAGGAGCGGTCAACCTGTATTGAACACAGTGAGTTATGCACATATTTTCTGGAACACCTGGACATTTTAGTCACCCAAATCAGCAACGTCGAAGCACATGTGATTATATTAGCCAACTTGCTGACTCTCAGCTGAGACTGAAAACAAACACGTCTTTGTTATACATGCAATTACATGTATTTGTGCTCCAAGAGGTTATTTTTATATTTCAAAAAATATATATTAATTGGTGTTCAGAACCTACTCACCTATGCATATATTCTCTTATTCCATGCTCTCTATATCTGTGAATAATTGAAATAGATCCATGGAAATTAGACCTGAAACATGAATATAAATACTTAAACTGATTACTGAAGTGTGATTTTTTTTTCTTCTCTTTTACGATACTCTCATCTTCAGCTGTATATTGAGACTGTGGAACTGTGAGCATACTAAAAACAAATAGACCTCTGCAATTTTGAAATAGTTTTTCATGGACAACAGGAATATTTTTTTTTAGTTGAACATGAATTCTCAGCTAATCCTACCTCTGCAGATTAAGGAATATACGATCCATATAAATTCATTGAAATAATAAAAATGCGTTTCTAAAGTCTTCTGAGAGAAAGGCTGTATTTCTTATAGACTTATATTCTTGAAAGGCCAAGTATTTTACATTTATCTTTTTATTCCTTTATATAGATAACACAGCAACAGTATTAACCAGAAGAAATGGCTTCCGAAGACAGGAACAATCTGTTTTTTATTTGCCAATATTCATTGTGGACAGTGGGTCACCTTCACTAAGTAGCACTAATACACTCACCATCAGAGTCTGTGACTGTGATGCAGATGGTATTGCTCAGACATGCAATGCAGAGGCATACATATTGCCTGCAGGACTTAGCACTGGAGCCCTGATAGCAATATTGGCTTGTGTATTAACTCTGCTGGGTAAGTCTTCTTTCTGTTACAATTTTTTTCAATGCAATGTATTGTAATTAGCAAAAGAAAAAAGAAAAAATATGTATAGATATACACACACTATTTCATTTATTTATTTATTTTTAATCACTAAATTAAGCACATTCCAGGAAGAACAGCATTTTGTATCACGAGCCACACAAAACCTTCCTTCTGTGATTTTCAAGATCAGATACTTTCTAATTTAAGCTGACTCCAGAGGTATATATGAAATAATATTAGAAGAAAAAAGATTATTTACAACAAATTTTATATTTAAAAAATGCAGCTTATGTATGTATTTCTCTAGTTTAGTATAAGAGCTGTTTTTTTCCAGATTAATTACTATGTAATCAGTGTGTGTTCTTTTCAGAGATGCAACTTTTTTCAAAAATTGATTTGTAGAGAACAAAAGATACCCAGGAAATACAACAGATATAATTTACTGATTAGAATCATCTTATTTAATTGAACATTTTCTACAGAATGATCTTTTGTTATTCCTGCAACTGGTGTCTCTCTTGGATTTTATGTTGTGCAGTGAAACTACTGCTAGATAGAAGACAAAGGGAGAAACCAGCTTGTGAATAGCAGAACAGTGTCACGAGCTTAGTTTGTTTAGCATTTTTCATTTCATGAAAAGTCCTGAAACAAAATGCCTAGATGATACTACACAGGTACAAATCAGGGAATAAAGATGAAGGATCATCCTTGCAACTGTGATATGCAGATAAGGAGAGGTGCAATTTTACTTATTGTCAGAGAGATCTACTGTAAAAAGGTCCTGATTCAGCACACAAGAATTCTCACGAGTGTTATCACTAAAGAGATTCGTCTATTCCTTTACTGCACATATCAGCCTAAGGGGAAGGAGAAGACTGAAGTCTCCTCAAATTTATATGATCATAAATCAAATCAAAAGATTTTTGTCTGCATTTTTGTTCAAGCCAGTATTTTAACCACATATGGGAAATTTCTCATTGACTGATTCACCTCACAGTAAGCCATTAGAAGGAAATGTTTCTTTTGCTACAAACAATTCCAAAGGACTCAGAAAAAGGAATCTTCTTGTACTGTTGTTAGAGAATAAGAAAAATCACTACTTCTACAATGAACCCAAACAACTTACTCAATGTCTGTGTATAGGAGACATTTCCCAAGTTTTTCAGCTTTTTGACCAAAGGAAAAAAAAAGTTAAAAACATAAGGTTGTTTAATCTCACTCAACATGTGTAAAGACCAAGGCTTAAGGAGAAATACAAATGAATGATCATCAACAATTCTAATCAACATTTTTAATACATTTTCCTCTAGCAATATTTCTAGTCCATATCTATTCCCAAATGAACTTTATTTGCACATGCAGGTAAATAGAAACAAATAGGAAAAAATATTTTCAAATAAATATATAATGTTAGGCTTTTCTCTTGTATCAAATGGCATTGACATTAATGGACATTAATTGACATTAATCACCTGTTGAAAACATTGGTTCAATGTATTTAAGAATTCTGTAATGATAGCAATTAACTTAAACCCAAACTGAAATGTCACCATTTCTGTTATATATAAACAAGGGAATTTCTGAATAATGCATTAGAAACTACTGTAGCTAAAAGTTAGGTTGGCCTGGGCATGAGCTTCTCAGAAATATGAACCATATTTGAAGTTCTATACTGTAGTTGAAGAAGACTGTTCAGTGGAAACACAGCATTGTGCCAGAGACTGCTTATTCCACTCAGTGTAGCACAGCTCAAACACAACCAATAGATAAGGTAACCTGAGGTTTTATCTCAGTCACTTCTAGATTGTGCTGAACAAGCATTTCGTAAAGAACTGAGGATAAACTATGCGAACATAGTGTTTAAATAACTGGTTGTGCACTGAAAATGAATCTGACAGACAACCACCTCACCATTGATTTTAGTTGTCAAAGAATTGGACTTCAAATTTAGCTATCTGAAAGTGTTACTGTTGTTTATCCAAGTAGATATTTCTATGTAATCTCATCACTTTTCCTTCTGGATACAATTCGGAGTTGAAGGCAGTTTAGTCTGTGTTTCTGTGCTAAACTTGGCTTTGAGTCCTGCACTGAGTTGCTGGATCCTGCAGCTGCTTTATTCCTGGTATCAGTCTTAATAAAGAAGAGGTACCAAAGCATCACTGATGACCAGTGAAACACTAATCAAGTGTTGCTTGTCTTGTTCCAGAGCCTTTCTTTTTCTCTTATTTCTTCCCAGAAGGCAGTTGTTGGCTCAGCTGAATGGCAATAATGCTCGGAATTTTCTTTTTACATTAATTCCCAAGGAAAGCAAAGAAACAAACAAAAATCAAAAATGAGGAAACAAAAAACACCAAACAAACAAAGAAATAAAATAATGAAGATCAACTAGTACTACATAAAAAATAAGTTTAAACTTGTGTGCTTCCAGGGCTGAGACAGGTTACTGGATCAAAACTTTTTTTTTTTTTTTTCCTCTGATTAAAATTTAAAATACACTGCAAATCCAGTCACATTCATCAATGTCATCTCAATGTAAGTTTCAGTTGCAAAGCAGAGGAGAGATTTGTATAACTGTCATGAATGAATGCATTCTGGTTGTAATATCTTGAAATTGCAACAAACTCTTATCTGCTTAAAGTTAGAATGATATGCTTTGATATTCGTTCCTCCCTACACATCCTTTTGCCTAATAACCATTTGTCTAAAAGAAGACTCGGATTGTCTCAGTGGGATTTCTTAGTGTTCTTATTTTTACTTAAACAACTGATCAATTTTAGACAAGCACAATGGTTTCAGTGATTGTAAGAAGAAAAAAAGTTACTACATTATACCAACTTATTATAATCACATATAATGTGGCATAGTTGTTTTTTTTTTTCAAAGTTAAATAATTTTAAAAGTTATAAACATTTTACCACATTTTTTCTCCTTCTTAGATTGATTTATGGAGATTAAATTCTAAATTTTATTCCACATTCAAGCTTCACCGGTACTTTGTTAATTACCCTAAAACCTCTATAATCATTCACTCTGCAGTGAGGCTGTGTTTTAAAGAAAAACAAACAAACAAACAAACAAACAACAAAAAAAAACTGCTTGCAAATTATTCTATTAAAAGCATATGAAAAGCTAGTTTGTATTTATTTTAGACTGTACATAATTTTTAGAGAAGTAAAAAGGAATTTTACCTGCTTTTAAAATTACATGGTAATTTAATTCAATATAATTTGTTTTTCAGTTAGCATCTTCCAGACAAAATAACTGCTTTTGTAACAAGTGCTTAGCATAAAATGTATACATAAAATCATACATACAAAAATAATATTCACCTGTAAATAACCCAATCATATTTGAGAGGTTAAATATTTTATTTGTATTGAAGCAATAGAAATTCGTTATTTTTATCTTCCATATTTCAGAATAAAATTTATTAGCCCCAGCATTTTTCTCAAAACAATGTAGCAAACCTCCTCTTAATCTGGCTTTAGATTTTACAAGTTAATGATAGGTTGATTACCTTTCGAAATACAGATTTAAAGTATTACTTGTTTTCAATTAAGGGACCAGTAAATAATTGTAAGTAATATTAACATATTACTTACAAAAGCCTAATACAATCAGCCATGTAATTTTGTGACTCTTAAACAGGAAGAAACAGTACTAGTAATAAGGATCTTATGACTAAATGGGTAAAATGGATATGGGATAGGACAATGCAGTATGTATGGACTGGGTCTTACAGTTGAAAAATGATAAATCAATAATTGTTTCAGTTTGGAGGTAATTCAAATTGAGTCATTTAAAAGGTGGCTGACTATGCAATGCAGAACCTGTTTTCTGAAAATTATAGAGCCTACTAATGTTACTCAGTCTAGGCATTCAAAGGTTACAATCACTTTGCAAAAAGCAATCTAAACTGATTAAGCAACAGTTATACATGAAGCTTGTTAACTGGAAATTAAATATACATTTCCTGAGTCTTGGCCTCTGTATTCTCAAATCTCTTCTGACTGTACTAGTAACTGCAATGTGTAATTAAACAGGTTTGTGTGCTTCTCGGATGGCTGAGGGTCTCCAATCTTCAACTTTATAACTCATGACACACCTAAGGCATAAAGCAATGGCATGTTCATTTGCAGCTGACATGGCTTACTGCTATAGTAAATGCCAGGCTTAGGAGCGAAGTATATACAGGGTATGATAATGATTGTGATTTAGCTCTGTCCTTTTACAGCTCTGCCTGTTTCTGAGTGTAGGCTTCTCCTTTAGGTTTTTTGAGGGCTATTATAGCTTCTTTACAATGACACTGTAGTTGCCCTGAGTACAAACAGAAATTTTAATGCTAAAACAGAGAAGCACAGGTAAACTAAACCTAACTTTTTGCAAGATCACACTAAAGTGAAAACTTGATAATAATTCCACAAAGCACAATGCAATGTAGCAAACTAAAAACTTTTCTTATATTCAAGGGCATTAGTTTAAAAACTGATTTAGGTGAACTGAAACTACTGATACTATGATTGTAGTTATACCAACACAAAGATAAAATTACATTTTATCACAGATAATATAAATACAAATGCCAAGGTTCTGCCAGTTGTTGTACCTATTAAACAAAATAAACATTTCCAACAATTCTGGTAAACCAGAACAAAAAGTTAGTTTAGATATTTCTCTATTAGTTTTAGTTATTCACTTATAATCATTAGTTTCAATATCATTTATTTATTTATTTTAATCGCATACGGAATCAGTATTGACATTTCATCAGCTTGGCATCAGTTTGGTGTGCTGGTATAGAGACAATGGCCAAAATGTACAATACATGTGTTACTAAAACTTTTTCACTGTGTTTTATTTCTTCTCTATGATACTGTGTTCTCTATATGTTCAGACAGTCACTGACTTGATCTCTGCTTTTGTGATAAATGTAGGGGTAAAAATGACAATGAGAAATGGATAAGCTTTACAAATCATTTTCACTTTATTTAGTTACCAATATAATGTGGTTTGCACTTGTATACATCTGTGCAGTTGCTGAAATGCAGCTAAAGCTTTGTTCATTTAGAGGTTAAACATTATTGTTCATAGCTGTTGGAATGCAGATAAATTAATAATCTCATAAAGCCATCTACATGCTAAAAGGTTTAACCTTTAGAAAGACTCCATATTTTTCTTGACTTCAAACGGGGATGTGATGTATAAGGAATACTACATAAAACACTCATTGCATCATGACTTTATTTCACCTTCAGCCAGACTTACCTACTGAGCTTCATATTTTTCACTTATTAAAGGTATTTAACTTTGAAAATTAAGTCTGTTAAGAATGACAGTGGTGTGAAAACACATGTGCACTTGATTAAAGGAAATGATTATCTGCTTACTTACTTGGCAATAAAAAATGTCGATACATTTTAAAAATGCTCAAAAAATAGAAATCAATAGCAATCTTGACTTAAATGTATTTTAGTACTGTCAACAACCTAATTTGTCTCTCACTTAAAAATACCTTTTATAATAAGGAAAAAACAGTAAGAGTAGAATCCAACTGTTGTCTATATAATTATGATAATTTTATGTTATCTGTTTTATAATTTACAACTTAATTTGTATTATACAATGATCAAAATGTTTTGAAATTTCATAAAAAACACTTTAAAGGTCAAAATCCTATATCATCAAACTACTTATGTAAATACTGTTGAAAGCAAAGTGCCCCAAACCAGTGGCTCCTGAATTTAATACACAAGACATAATTCAGTGAGATGCCAGGAGGAAAAAAAAGTGGAAGAGTGATGATGATACTGAAGTGTTATAAAGTCATAAGACATCTGTTAATAGATGGATCATTGAACCTGTACCTCATATTTACTATAAATATATATATATATAAATAAATTAAAAATATTTTCCTAATTTATTTTCCTAAAATATTAATATATTTAAAAAAGGGAAAAAATGAACTTGTTCTAGTTTTCCTTTTAAACAAACATTACTCCAAAGGAAATTATGACAATATCAGTGGAAATATAGCAGTTTTCTACATGTACAATCTCTGAATGACTGGTTTAATCCTAACCAAGTGATCCCCATACTAAGTCATGTCTCACAATGACTAGATTGATAATGATTTTCAAAAGTTCCTCCCTGAAAAGAAAGGCTTTCAACCATATTCTGTATTATTAAATTTATGGAGGGCATTTCTGAGACAGCCTAGAGAATATCAATCTTAATTTTATCTCAACCAGTTGTTCCTTTTTTCAGAAATGTATACAGAATTTAGTAGGCATATCAAAGTACTGTAAGTAATGATGGCAAACCTTAGATATTTCAATATAAAAAATAGTATATTCTTAACATTAAAAATATAGATAATATTATAAGGAATGATCAATTGAATATGGAATGATACTTACTTTTCAATGTACCATTATTTTTACAGTCGTAGAGATGCCTGCTCTTTTCTAGGATTATCATTAACTCAGCAAATGTTATCCAGATGCTACAGGACAGTATTAATCACTTTGTGATTAATATGACTCACATTTCATCATGTCCCACATATGGGCGCAATATTCATATTGCAGGTTCCATACTTTGTGTATCAGTAATGGTGTTTCTCTACCAAATCTGTATTTGAAAAAGATGAATCTTGAGTTTGTTTTTCTCAGTTTTTTTGGCTGTCACTGACACTTAATATTAGATTTCAGTCTGATGAAAAATTTAAGGATTATAATTCTAAAATGATTACCTTGTCTAGAACTGGCTGATCCAGCAAATTTCAGTCCTAGAATTTCTCATTAGAAGTAATTCATAAATCTGAAGAACAGTGCTTTGCACTTAAAAGGAAAGTGCATTCTTATATATTCTTTTAATCCACAAGCTAAGACTGTTTTATGTTACACATTGCTTAATAATTAAGTCTTCACCAGTCTAGGAAGACTTTTTGTTTGTTTGTTTGTTGTTTGTTTGTTTGTTTCCCAGCAGAGATTGGCCATATACTTTAATTCAGTGACTTCCCAAACTATGGTCATTAAATTCTATTCAGTTACTTTGCAAATGTGCTTTTACCGCTTGGGCAATTAAGAGTTCAGGAAATTTTTTTTTTTTTTAATTATTATTATTTCATAGCTATGACATTGTAACACTCATACTGAAACAGTATTAAAATTTGCATTTAAAAGATAGCATAGGATATAGAGTTAGAGAAGAAAACATTAATTCACAATGTTTTTTGAAATAGATTCTTTAACATCTAAAAAGCTCGTGGTTTAAAAGCCATTTTATAACCTGCTAGATTTGAAATCTAACTCTATAAATTACCTGCTACTCCTTGTGTCGTTATCCATATAAATTAATGAGTGCTTCAACCACTACGAAAATATGAGCAAATTTTAGTATTGCTAAAACTTCAGTCTTTTTGCATTCCAGTTCTCGTCTTGCTGATTGTCACCATGAGGCGACGGAAAAAAGAGCCCCTCATTTTTGATGAAGAGAGAGATATCAGAGAGAACATTGTCAGGTATGATGATGAGGGTGGTGGAGAAGAAGACACTGAGGCTTTTGACATGGCTGCCTTGAGAAACCTCAACATCATCCGAGACACCAAGACCAGGAGGGACGTAACACCTGAGATTCAGTTCTTGAGCAGACCAACTTTTAAAAGCATCCCAGATAATGTAATTTTTAGGGAATTTATCTGGGAGAGACTAAAAGAAGCTGATGTGGACCCCTGCGCACCACCCTATGACTCCCTGCAGACATACGCCTTTGAGGGAAATGGCTCAGTGGCAGAGTCACTCAGCTCCTTAGATTCGATCAGCTCAAACTCTGACCAGAACTACGATTACCTCAGTGACTGGGGCCCTCGCTTTAAAAGGCTTGCAGATATGTATGGGACTGGACCAGACTGCTTATACTCATAGCCTTGGAACCTTTCTCTGAAAATGCACTGAAGAATACTAAAATAAAAAACTCAACTTTACAGACAGAAGAAAGTTGTAAATAGTTCTCCATTTTTAATATTTTTTTCTTTTTTTCTTTTTGACTTGGTGGAACATATCTTCATTAAACTTGTCCTAGGGATTGCACTGACCACATAGCATATGAGCATTTGAGGCATTTTTGATAAAATGAAATGCTCAGACATGTTCAAATAGATAGCATCATAAGATACCTTCAGAGGCAACTCACTTTCAAGAGTGTTATGCACTGTAACCTTAATGAGTCAATTACACTCTGTAGATGCCTTTACAGTATTGCTATATCTAGAACACAAAGTCTTTGATATAAGTGTAAGAAGCAAATTAACAAATATAATTCAGTACCATATGACAATATATAGTATTTGCAAATGTAGGCCTTTTAGCAAACTTTTTTTTACAATGCTGCATGCAGCTTGCTAAACTAAAAAAAAAGTACAGAAATGAAAACAAACAAAAACCCAGATCATTTTTTTGTTTGTCCCTGCTTTTTTCAAATTTAGTTAATTGAAAGTCTCTGTAAATTCCTGGATAGTTTTATGAATATATATATGAAGAGATACATATTACTATTTGTTCTAAGAAACTCCATGTTTGTCATCAACTTACTGATGTGGTTTACACACCACATAAAATCAGAAATATGGAGTGGTATCCTCAAGGTTGAAAAGTTTTGTGATGCCCATGTAGGTATAGAAAATATGTTGCTATCTATTTGTTATTTTTTATTATCTCTTCTGATTTGTACAGGAGAATTTATCCTTTTTTATTATTATTTGACATAAAGCATTATATTTATTTTGGAGCTCTAATCTCCACTAAATTCAGGTCCATTTTACTGCCTCATGGTATTAGACTTGTCAGAACATGCTGATTTTTCTCCAGTCTCAGATAAATGAAGCGTGGAAATAGAGAAATTACAGTAAAGCAATTGAGCCCACCATTCATCTCTCAGAAATGAGAGCAGCCACAAGGACACACAGTTGTTCTTCTGAGCCACTACAATGTCTGAGACATTTAAATAAAATATTTGTACATTGCAGTTCTGGAAAGAAGACCACAGAGTAGCTGGGCGTGTCTTTAATGCAAGATATAATTTTCAAGGTCAAATATCCTATATACTTCAAAGACTTTAAACACCCTGCTTTTCCCCCTCCCGTTATCTTTTGCTGCTGATGACAGTAAAAGACTCTTAAATTTCTTTCTTATGTTAAGCAATGTAATGGTATTAATTCCAGAAACTATCTTTAGATCTTTCTGCACATATGTATTTTCCCCAAAGGTGTTAACTCAGTATACATAATTTCTACACTGGTTCAGGAGTGCCAAAACAGAAAGAAAACTACTGTTGCTTAAAATACTGTATGGTTTTGAAGTAGGATTTCTTAGAATAAGATAACTTTTTTATTATTCTATTTATACTTTATCTTTCATGATTTATTATTAGACAATAAGGCATATAATCAAGTAAAGTAGTGTTTTTAAGTATTATTTCAGATTATTTTGTTTGAGATAATCTGTAGATGAGTTTCTAAATTAGACTATGCTCCTACGAACTCTTTTGCTTGTACCTAACTTGCAATGATTTGACTTGCCAGCAATTACTGAGAGTCATTCAGAATTGTTTGCAGGATTTTATCTGTGAATAGAAGGTACTACATAGAGAATGATCACTCCAAAAGTACGTATTTCTGAAAGAAAGATCCTTGTACGGAAATGTATGGGTGACAGAAGGCTGGGAGAATGGAAATTATCGTTAAGGCTTTTTTTTGCAGCCCAGCATTATCAATTTACTATGTGAAAGTGGCCTTCAGCTTCATCAGAGAAAAGCAAAATAATTTTAATCATCTGCAACATGGATGTTTAATTTTGAGTTACACTTTGGTAGACAATCATTGATTCATAATTCAGTAGATTTGCTTCTAGTTGTACTAAATATATATATATATATGTATATATATATATATGACAGATTTTGTAATGGAACTGAAAGATATTGCCTATGACTTTTAGTCATACCTGTAAGATTTTCAATAAAAATTAAAAAAAGAAAAAAAGAGAGAATGATCCACGTTTATAGTTCAATGAGAGTGAAAAATACTGCAGGAGTTAATTGGGTATTAGATCAGCAAGGTGTCAGGAGAACAGTTTTTGATTAATCTACTTTTTGTTTGTGGGAAGACTAAAATTAAGGTGTCAAAAGATGCTGATTGTAGCACATAACACTTAAAGGAGATTTAAACATGGTTTAGAGTAAACACAGTTTTCTTGCTGTTCTACGGTATATTTCTGGGAAAAACAAACAAACAAAACCAAAAACAAGCAAACAAACACAGAAACCCCCCTTCCTATAGCTCAACTGCATTAGTTTTATGTAAGTGTGTGTTTTCTGTGGAAAGAAGTATGTTTCATTCTAATGCCATAAAAAATCCTGCATATATTTGTTTGCTGTTCTGATATAATCTAGTAAATTTTTGTTACACTACATATGTTTACCTATTAACAATTATTTCAGCAAAAGAGAAAGAGGGAAATCCCTTACATTCAGTGACAGATGTTACCATAGTATATACATTTGCATAATATAATGCTCTTTGTAAGTTACCATTTGTCTATATGTTTTCACTGTTAAGGTCCTGATTCAAATTCTTTCTTTTAGTGTTATTTATGTTGTATAATCTGATGTCATAATCTATAGTTTACTGTCCAAATATAAGAAATATTTTCTCTATCCCTGAAAAATTATGGAAATGTTGATCAGATTAATTAGAAAAGCTTTAAAAAAAAAACAATCCCTATTTTATTTATTTGCTAAACTTTCTGAAGAGCTGTAGTATCAACCTACAGGCCTCAAGTCCTCCTTAAAGAGTATGTCAACCTTTGCAGTAACATCCATCTTAGAGTAACATCCTTTCATCATATGACAACTGAATAGATTTTTTAAAATTGAGATTTCCAAGCCCCTTGAAAAGTCTACTTTAAGAGTGCCACTAAAAATAGCACTCTTGGTAAATTCAGATTGTAAATTATACCATCTGAATTATACCATCTAAAGATTTAAGGCAAGACTCAGCTTTCACCAGTGTAAAAATCTACTGCATTGAGCAATTCAGCAGTTACATTATTGTAAAGAGTGGATGTCTTTTTTTTTTTTTTTTTTTTAAGACTAAATTTACATGTACATATTTCTCTTCTGAATCCAAAAGGTGAAAAATCATCAATATATTTAAAAATTCCACCCACCTACTGTTTATTTTAAAATGCCTTATTAAACTAGAAAATATCCCAACAAATTAACCCTACCCTCAAATTTATCCCCATTAATTCACAGAATATTTGATTGACATTGTCACCGAATGAATCATAGAATAGCTTGGGCTGGAAGTGACCTTAAAGATAATCTAGTTCCAGCTCCTCTGCCACAGGCAGGCATGCGACTAAATCAGGTTGCCCAGGGCCTCATCTAACCTGGTCTTAAACACCTCCAGGAATGGGGCATCCACAACCTCTCTGGGCAACCTGTTTCAGTGCCTCACCAGCCTCTGAATTTCCTCCTAATCTCTAATCTAAATCCCCACTCTTTTAGTTTAAAACCATTCCCCCTTTTCCTGTCATTATCTGATTGAGTATAGTAGAAAATTATTTCTGGACTCAGGCAAAACTTTTAAGACTGCCCATGCAATAAAACCTTATTTTTTTACTTATTTTTTTTCCTCTTAATATTGTTACCAAAAATAGTTTAATATCTGTTAGAAGTTTGTCAAGAACTACTATTTCTACAATGCTGTAAAGCCATGGATTATTTACTATAGAATCAGATTGAAATTCTTATTCCTAGAAGCGATGTAAATATTAATGGAGTTTAATGGCTGCTTGATTAATTAAGGTCATAAAGCAATTGTACATCATAACAATGAGCTTAAAGTTGAACCAAAACTAGAAAAAAAGTTAAAAGTTTTGTTTTCTCCTACTCCCCAACCTTTCTGCCAAATCCAGAATTTGTTTTAATTGTATATGAAAGCAAAAAGAGTCTAAGCTAGACAGAGCAGACAATTGGATCTTGGTCTCCTAAGAGACCAAAGCTGAGAGAACAAAGGCTAATAGGCTCTTTGCTAGGTCATGCAATTCAATTATTCCAGTGTGATGATGTCTTGACTCACAGGTCATACTAACCTGGACCTGTAAAGTTTTTTGTTAGTTTGTTTGTTTCTGTTAAATCTAGTTTTCTTGGTGAAAGGCTTATGCTTGGATGATTTTTTTTTTTTCATTTTTGTTTGTTTTTGTTTTTCTTTTGGTCAAAAACATACAAGCCAAAATATATCTTGACTCTTCTGCAGTCTTGACTAGAAACCCATCTTATTGTCTTCTGTTAATGAGACAGAATAAAGTCCTGAGATGTTCAAGAAGTTGTGGAGAAAAAGCTAAAGACAGCATCAGCAGACTGCAGTGAAACAAATGCATCACTTTATCTAAACATGAGCTCACAAAAACAAAGCTGTCATTAACACCATTCAAATCATGATATGGGTCTAATCTAACAACTTAAAACATGATGTCATTTTCTAGCATTAATATCAGTAATATTTACATTCTTAGCAAAGACTTTAGAATAGTTGAGGTTCTTCACTTGGCAGTTTCACCATTACTATTTATATCATATTCTTGATGCATGGAAAAAGACGGGAAAGTTACAAAAAGTAAAACAGTACAAGTACAAAATGGCCCTGTGTGCACTGACTTTTAATACAGTATTTTAGTCATCATTCTCCCTTAGTGCTCCCCAATGCACTGATTTCTTTTCCTTTCATTGAAACCAGCTACTCATCTATTAGACATATGATATCTAGCCAGGTATTTAAGTCACTTTAGACCGTTCAAGTCTGAAAAGAATGGTCAGGCAGAATTTTGATGTCTTAATGACATTATGTTTTAATCTCTTATTTACTTATTGACCAAAATATCCTTTATTATTATCACACTGTTGAAATGATATGAGGAAGTGTTTACCAATGCACCTATAAGAGGCCAGGTGAAATCCTGATCATGTTGAATTACCTTGACAGTGACTTTCAAGATGTACCAAATTTATGCTTTTTTAGGGGAGTCTGATAAATGACCACTGATAGCATCAAGATGACAGAGTGTCAGTTTGAACTGGATACTTTTTCTTTTTGCACAATCTTTTACTTTCAATAAGCCACAATTCTCATTTTTTGATGGTAAAACAAATATATTATTAGGAAAGTTTTAATAGAATAAGCTATTTGCTACCAGCACAGTACATACAACATTTTTGTGTGAGTACTCTTTCTGTCAAAGTTCATTTCTGATATTTATAGACAGTATAGACAAATATAGAAAGTATATAAAGCTCTTCCTCCCTATAATTAAGAACATATAGAATTTTCATGCTATCAAAATCAAATTATGACACTTCACTTTTAATAGGACTTTGTGACCATCTGTAGCTTTATCATATCCATGACATACAACCTAAATAGATTATGATCTTCCTGTTTTGGAGTCTGTTATCTTGCTCTTGCTTGAGATTTTACTAACACAGAAAGTGGTAGCAGCAACTAAACAAAAAGGAAATTTAAAACACCTTTTATTTTTTATTGCTTCATACCTGATCTAATGATGTGAAAAATAACATTTTAGCAGATGCTGCTGGAATATGAAAATTCCTCTGAACTAGCAATGTTTCCATACTGTGGAATGAGATCTTCCAACACTCTATGGTATTTGTCCTAGTCTCATCTTATTCGAATATATAAATTAAAACAAACAAACAAACAAACAAAAAAAACTATGAAGGAGAAAGATTAAATATCTCAGTGGCAAGCTTAATATGAAACTTGATATTCCTCAAAACATTAAGCTTTCCTAGTTTGTGTGTAATGAATCTGTGAATGAGCTCTCATAGGATGTATAATCTGTTGATGTGGTCACCATTCCTACATAAGAATGGCTGGATATTTGTTCACTTTCTTCTTCCCCTCAATTTCTAGTAGAGCTTGACTTTGATATATAGAAACAACTACAGGGATAAAAAAGTACTGTGTAATTGCGACCAAGGACATTAGTACATTGTGAACATTCACGCAGTAAGAAATAAATAAATAAATAAATAAATACTTCTTTAAAGAGTTTAGTAAAAAGAAAAAGATTTTGTCTCCCCCTTCCTCTTTTGTCCTCAGTCCCTTCAAAGATAACATATGACTAAATCTTTCTCTAATATATCATTTTGTTGTTTTGGGTACACATTCATTATGTTTTGTAGTAGTCACATGTAGAAGGTGAATGGAGAACAAACTAGCATCAAAGTCAACACCTGAGAATTAGGAAAAAGATTTAATAGTTTCCTACACTTTACTGCTATATGACCTTGACAAACTTGATTCAAGGTAGAATTATCCTTTATCTTTCAGTGTAACTTATATGATAGCAAAATAAAATAATATGAAAAAATGATACCTAGGAACAACTGATCATGAGAAATTGATTAATATATTATGCATGAAATCAATATCTCTTTTTCACTGTGGCTTAACACAGGTCAATAAACTTTATTAGGATTCCAAGATAAATATAGACTTCTTGGCTTACGTACAGAGAACATTCAAGAAGAAATTTTCAAACAGCTCCAGCAAAAATCTGAGGTTATTTCACTATTCAAAAGACAAGGGTTCTTGGAAATAAACACATGACCAAAAATCCAAATTTCTTGTCTTTACAGGTAGATATATACAGAGATGATAGGACGGGATTTCCCTTCCTGTTAGCACTTAAGATCTGTAGTGAATGTGAATTTAAATCTAAATGACTACAACTGAAAGCAAGACAGAAGCAGAGGAGACATCTTTCAATGATGTGCATTTTAATCAGCTTCACTTGGCCTGATATAAATAAATTGTTATTTATATTAAAAGTTGCCTGGCTCTAACTTGGCCTTTATATATTCTACAAAACCCACAACTTCAGAAATGGAAAAGACTTCTGTTGTCTTCTGGTAAGTTTGCATTCATGAAGAGGTAAAGCAAATATGTAACAAAGCTGTGGCTGACTATTAGTCTGGTCTCACCTGCAGTATAGTTAAGATTGATGATACAGAGACCACACCAAATGACAATGTCTTACTGTCTCATTTTTCATCCTTTCCTGTATACACTTGTTACTTATCTCTTTCTTTAGTTGCTATTTCCATGAGAAAAGTGGGTTTTGTTTGTTTGTTTGTTTTTGAATTCTTTTAGTATTGTACTTCATATAATTGGTCCCAGACTCTGATCAAACCTTCTAAGAAGAAAAGCAATGCTACGGTTACTTTAACTACTACTAATAATGATGCTGGGTAAATGTGACATTGTTGGCCTTGGAGTCAGAATATCAGGTTATCTGCCCAGCTTTATCACAGATCTGTTTTGGTTGGTTGATTCATCCAACTTTTGTATCTGTTGATATAGAGGCCTGAAGAGAAACAGCATGTTTCTAATATATTTTAGAAAGAAAATGGTATTGCAATATCTATATAATAAATTTGGTGGGTTTTGTTTGTTTACTTGTTTTGTTTAATAATAAATTATGAGATATACTTATGGATAAAATTCAGTCCTGGTTCTAAGTCTGGAGTAATCATCCTGAGCCAAAGTCAGCAGCAATGTAATTTCAGTTTTGCATATGGGATGACAAAATAACATCAAGAGACAATAAGCATTCCTGAAAATTATTTGGCATTTCTAAAGCACATGAATGCAATGTGATAAACATGCCAGTGGGAAGGAATGTTGTAGGAAACAAAAACAAACAAACAAACAAAATAAACAAACAAAAAGGCTGCTTTTTTTTACAAGATCATCTCATACAACTTTTGTTCCATGGAGTTTCAGATGAAGAAAGAGAGGTTGACCTGATTTGTTTATTCATTCTGTCTTTGAAGTAAATGTACTCTCAAATCCATGATGAAACAGTGGTATTGAAGAAAGCTTTCTTTTACAAAGAAAGTTGTGTATGAAGGTAGATAATACAAGGACTTCACTGATGCTTTACTGTGGAAGGAGCCATCTTTGCAAGTAATCAAGAAACGATTTGAGAATACAGATTGTCTTCAGTTAATTTATTTCAACAACTAAAACTTGCTAAAATCTACTCCTAATATAAAATGAATCTTTGTAAGCCTAAGGTTTAACTAATGAGATTAATAAATATAAATTTTATCGACATGGAAGCTTCATCAGAGGAGGGAAAGTTCATTCATCCTGTTTGCCATTTATCATTTAATAATAATAATAATAATAAACCTATAGTTTTGTAAATTTTAAACCTGCCTTTGGAAATGTGTAATTAATGTCACCCAAGTCATATTGGCAAAGCAAAGCAATGTATGGAAAATCTTATGGTCTTGAACAGACTACTTCATTGCATAATATATCTGAAGTTTATCTACCATGTGCAA